AACGTTCGTTTTCATTGGGCTCTTCAAAAGACACGTGCACCTCAGTAGGCTCACTCTCCCAGGCCTTCGGTTCATCTACAAGGCCAGAGGCATCGTACAAGCTAGCCAAACTTTCGTTAGTGGGGCTCTTCGTGAGGGCGTCCGCAGGGTTTATCACTCCCGGTATGTGTTCTATAGTAAAACGACCCCTGGCCACCAGCTCCTGAAGGAATGCGGCACGCAGTTCGATGTGCCTCACTTTCCTCAGGAGGGTCTGCATCTTCGATATACAAACCGCCGATTCGGAATCAGAATATCCCTTAAGAACATAATAACCGGTTTCCCTGTCTTTCGGCATACCCTCGCGGATGGTCTCCACAAGCAAAGCAATGTACAACCCTTCACGAGCAACCTCTGTGAGTGCAGCGAGTTCTGCTTCCGCACTGGAGAGTGCGGTAGTCGTTTGTTTCCTGCTGAAGCTTTTCAGGGAACAGTTCTCCCACGTAATGATCCCGCCGCTTACCGAATTCAGACTCCAGCTAGCGTCCGTAAAACAAGATACAGAGGCAGGGTCCGCATCATCTTCCAAGATCTCCCTTTTGCTCGGAAACCTCTGGACCTTGTGCGGAAGACCCTTGACCCAACGAAGGACATCCCTCATACAGGTCTCGGCAGCTTCGTCAGGAGCTGCTTGGTGGCGGCCCAGAAACCCACACACAAACTGCAGGTCTGGTCGTGACAGAGCCGCCCAGGCCAAACGGCCCAGAGTCCTTCTGTACCTTTCGTGAGCAGCTGGACTGATCAGCTCAGTCTGGCCTTTCTTCAGCAACTCAGCATAGCGGCGTTCAAGGGAAGGGAGCTTTGGTGCAGGTTTGGTGATTCCGTACTCCTCGCAACAGGAACTCAGGTAGTGTTCGTCTAGCCCGAAATACACCGTACGTTCCCCTTTCTTACGGCGAAAGATCCGCCGACCGAGAAACGAGACTTCCCCGGGGCAATCTTGAATCAACTCGCCCGTAAGTTTCAGTTTGTATCTTTTACGCAACTCCTCGTAGAACCGGCGCCCTTCAGCTTCATCTTCGCTATAGATCAGCAAGTCATCCAAATAAAACAACACAATCGTCAAACCCTTCCTCGTAAGACGACGGAATATAGTGGGGTCCAAACTTGCTTCGAAGTTCTGAGAGCGCAAGTATTCAGCCAACTCGCAATACCAAGATAATGGAGCAGACCGCAATCCGTTCATCGCTTTACGCAATTTGACGAAAACTCGTTCCCCAGTCCCCTGGGTGCTCACATTATTCGGCAACTCTACGAATTCTGCCCTCGCTACGGGAGCATGCATGAACGCTACCGAGACATCGCAGGACAACACACTGCCACGTCGGCAGAGCATTGACAGAAGCAATCTCAGACCCTCCAATGAAGTAGTAGGAGAGTAGATTCCTTCACTCAAGGTGGTGCCTCCCATAGAGGCATAATCCCGCACGACTAGCCTAGATCGATACAGTCCCTTCTTCTTGACCGTGTTGACCCACCTGCTAGTCAAAACTCGCCTGCCGTTTTCCTTAGCAAGACGGCGAGCTTCGCGCTCAGGGATCACTTCCCCAACCTTGAAGGATTCCAACTCTTCCAACTCAAGCTTCATTGATGCGTAAAGAAGATCGGGTTCTAGCTTCTCTCCCGAAGTCTCAGACACAGCGTTCTGAGGAACAGCACACCTTATCTTCGTACCCCCAAACTTCAAATCAAACGACTTTGCAACTGCAGTGGAGGTGGCTCGCAGGTCAGGCCCTCGAAACAGGGACTCAAGATAGTGATTCGTGAGCCAGTCTATTTCCATATCCCCCTCATCGTTCACAACCTCCTGGTTCTCAGGCGCTTCCGAAGGAGAATAGTCAGCAAGCTCATCTTCAATCATCTCTTCATCACCATCTTCTTCATCCATTCCCACACCAGCCCCCTCATCAGGAGCATCATCACCAGGAGCCTCCAACGGATCAAACAGTATGGGCCTCTCGGGGTCCTCAGTGTCCTGCAGAAGAGGCTTAGCTAAAGATAGCTCTTCCAGGGTCTTGGCATCGTAGATGTCACCTCCCTGAATCATCCTGGCGACGGGGAATATATCTATTTCCCTGCTTCCGACAGGGACGGCAAAGATGCCGCCACCTTTGGCGTGCACCGGTCCCAGATAAACCGCTTTCACGGTCCGGGCGCCCCTGAAGTTATCATGGTGCGCCTTGGACTTACTGACCTGAGCTTGAACCAGACACCCGAACGGTCTCGTCCGAGTTCGGTTCACAATCTCCTCATGCAGTCGATCTATGCTAGTGCTGGAATCCCCGACGCTGGTACACCAGAGGTTATAGCACCTAGCAACATAGAAAACACAGGCTTGCCAAAGCAAACCTCCCAAAGGTAACTGATACTTCCCAAGCTCAACGGCTTCCGTTTCCTGCTTCACCTTAGCAACCTCTTTCTCCAGGTCCAACCAAACAGACCAGAAACCCTGCTTCATAGTTTCAACCTGCCGCTCAATCGATCCCTTCGACTGGGGCCTGTAGCCCGGAACCACGTCAATCAAAGTTGCGCTGGCAGGGCTGCTATCGCACTTGGTGAGTTTCTCGGCAAGGGCTCCAAGAGCCGCTTCTTGGTCCATCCGAAATGTAACCGCTTTACCGACTAATCCCATTTCGCGAATCACACGGTTGATATTGTGGAGCAGGTCAGGGTCATCGAGATGCATCGCAGGAAGAGAGACAGTATACTTAGAACCGAGGTGCATCATCAAGAGTACCCTCAGTTTTCCGAAATAGAAGAAATCAAGACCTATGGTCTGGTTCTCTCTCTGCAGCTTCCTCCTCAAGCGACGCGCCGGAACGCGCCCTTTCGAAGAACAACACGCTTCACAATTGGAATCAAACGGAAAATGCCCTCGGCTCCGATGATTATACAACGAAACAGAAGAAAGAGGAACCCTCAGGTCCTCCTCGTCCTCAGGTCCAACCGGGTCGTCAGGTGGTGTTGGACCCTTTTCTTTTCGAGGTTTCTTGGAAGAGCCAGGGGCAGACCCTAACGGTTCAGGGTCCTCATCAAAGATTCCTTCAGGATCTAAAGGATTACGACTAGAAGCTTCAGGTTTTAAGGAAGTTTCGGGAGCAGGTCTCGAGGAAGGTTCGGGGTCTAAGTCAAACGGATCAGAACGTGTACCGGTCCCCGGCGACGGTAAACCTCTAAAGCGCACGGCTCGGAGCACGTGCTCAACTTGTTCCGTCTTCTTTGCCGGGGCCGGTTCATCATCTCCGGCACAAAGCATGCCAAACATGCCGCAACATGCGCACTTTAAGTTTTCACAGACATGCTCACAAACGCGCTGCCCAAAACCTTTCACCTCACGACTCAAAAGAAGTTTCCTACTCACCTCGACGCGGGCCCAACGGTCCCGCAGCTTAATCCTAAAGTAGCTTCCGCGTTTTCTAGAAAACACCCTGTAGAACTTCCGTGGCCTCTTTCGCGAAACCACTTTCCTGAAACACCGAAGTAACCCTGAAGAAACCCACAAAGCTATACCACAGAAGAGGCTGTAGACCGTCAGGAGGAGCACGATGATACCAAGATCCAGTCCTGGCGTGAAACCATTCCTGAAAGCGGCCGTGGTTTTAAAGGTGCGGGTTTCGAAGGTAGGAGGGTTCGAGGTACGTTGGGTTGGTTTTCGAGCAAACGCAACATGCCACAGACCATGCCAACGCTCATGCCACACAACATGCTGCTGCAAAACGTGCTGCTGCAAAATGTTCTGCTGCAAAATGTGCTGCTGCAAAGCGTGTTGTTTACCCCTCGTTGCGGATCGCCGCAGAGTCACTCCAAAAGCCTCTGGCCCTCTTCGAGGGCTTGCCTCACCTGCGCAGTCACTTGACTGTGGCTTAAAGATGGCGGGCTGAGCACAAATGCCCGTTCCTGGGCAGTCTGTCCGGTGGCAGAAGCACTCATAGCTCTCGGAGGCGTTGGTAGCCGAGATCTTTTTGGAACCGACGGCGGGATGTTCACGCCGTGCTTTTGATAGTCCTCCCTTTGCATTCCCTCCGGAAGAGTAGGTGCTGAGACCCTCGGGAGATTGAATGCAGTAGCCACCAGTTCTCCAGGTGGCATTGAGGAAGCCGGGCTCGGCGGTGCCGGCTGTCCCGCCTCGGCGGGCTGATTTCCCTCGTCGGCCCCAACATAGCCATCCAATTGGGACAGCCTCTGGCCTGTAAGTTCTTCCAACGTGCGCCATATGGCGATGTCGGATAAATCTTCTTGGCCCTGGGCCCTGTTCAGCGCAGTGACTTCTCCTTCTCCAAGGAGCAAGGACTCCTCGTCGGAGCTCGAAGAGGTGGTGTCCACAACACCGCCCTGAGGGATCGCTGCCGATTTGGCCCTTGCCGCTCGCATGGATTCCCGGGCCTCGTGGAGGCGCTCCTCCTCTCGTTTTCGCCTGTAATATCGGGCAACACGGAGATATATGCCCGAGTCTAGGTACGCCCAAGCCGTTTTGAGCTCGAGCGAGGTGACAGACTGGGGCACCTTTACGAGCAGACTCGAACGTCCTCCCACCAGTCCCTTGTATCCAGCAGGCGTAGCCAAATAGGTTTGCAGTACCGCTCGACAATGGAAGATATAGTGTAACATAGACACAGGGTTGGGTTCCTGGAACCTTCGTTTCCACGCTGCCCGAGCGGCCCGTGGAGCCTCCAGAAGTTCGGTAACCCTGACAGCGAACTCCACGTCTTCCATATGAAGCCCGTACTCTGCCAGGCTCTTGCCCTCTAGGCAACGTCCCAACCAAACCTCCCATTCCTGCTGCCCAATGATACATTGGGCTTCCGATTCCACCATCTTCGGCCTCGAAACCCTCACTGGCTCCTCTGGATAGGCCGCTGTCACAGGAATCACTGGAGTGGCTGGTAGCCAAGCAGCTGGATGCTCTAGGTCGGGCAGGCCTATCGGACCGAGCATCGTCGCCGTCGGAGAGCAAAGTGCTCTCAAGGCGTGGCCGGCGCACAGAACGCCAGGGATGGGGCATCGTAGGCATCGTTCATGTTCGCTGGAATCCCCGCCAAGTGCGAGAGCAACGGAATAGGCTCGGTAGAGTCGACCGAGACCTTTGCAAGGCCCAGTGTTTCCGCATGCTCCCATCTGCGGCCAGCCTCCAGCCTCAACGCTCTCAGGAGGAGTTGGGTTCCCACATCCATCTGAACAGCACCAAACGGAGGGCTCAGCGAGCCCGGCGAGATATTCGCCGGGATTCCAACCCGCGGTGGCGTAGGCCCCTCGACCTCTGAAGGAACCCCAGCGCGCAGGCGCTTCGAAGGATTCGGCCACTGGGTGCCCCAACTCTCCTCCCCTTCGCTCTCTGAGAACAAAGGGCTCTCTGCAATATCCGCCTTCGGCGGACTCCTCGCAGCATTCTCCTCCACAGGGCTTCCAGCAGCATCTGCCTGCGAAGGGCCGTCTGCAGAGCTCTCCGCTGCTTCCGTCACCACTGGCGACGGGTAGACCGCCACCGGCGACGATGGTCCCCCACCCGGCGGCTCGACCCCCGGTAGTTCGAAAGAGGGGCTCTCCAAAGCCGGTGGAGTAGGCGGTTTCCCAGGAGAACCTGGGCTGCTCAAAGCAACACTCGGGGTAAACTCGTCCCCGCTGGCACCGTCCATTATGATCTCCAAAGGGAGACCTCTCTTCACCAAAGAGAAAAACGGCTGCAGATGAATCGTGCGCAGTGCTAGTTCAAACATTCGGCAACATCAGCGTTTGCAAAATCAAGCCAAGCATGCCAACATGCCACTGTTTCCTAGGTTCACGCAGCTGTTTCCTAGACTCACGCAGTTGCTTCCTAGGCTCACGCAGTTGCTTCCTAGGCTCACGCCGCTGCTTTCGCAACCCTTTTTCTACCCTCTTGTGGCTGAAGGGTCTGTCTTCTTCACTTGCCATCAAGCAAGACCCAACCAGCTGCAATGCTACCATCAGCATCGCTCTCAGCATACTGCGAATCTGGTACTTCGTCGTGGGCACGTAGCCATTGCAGCCCCGACCAGTGCTGGATACAGGCCCAGCAATAATGATGGGTGTGCGCAGGTTTGCGTCTGACGCAGACCTGCTTTCCGCACACTTCGCACCGGCACTCGCATTCTGGCTTTGATCCGCCCAGATAGTTTCCCATAGCAGGAAAAAGAGGCGTATGCCGAGTCTTTCTGCAAAAGCCGTAAGGGTAAAAGCCCGCTTGAGCACAGCCGCAAAAACCCACTGCGCTTGCACAACCATGTCCATCATGAAAACATGCCATCGCAAAACCATGGAAAAACATGCCAAAAACATGCAAAGCACCATGCCAACATGCGACTGTTTCCTAAAATCAAGAGCCATGCCAACATGCGACTGTTTCCTAAAATCAAGCGACATGCCAGCATGCAACTGTTTCCTAAAATCAAGCGCTGTGCACTGCCTAAAGTCACTAGACTCTTCTAGAAAATCACGAAGCTCAATCTCCCGTGGTGCAGGCGCTCTTGGAGCAACTTCCGCCCTAAGACCCCGAAGCAGAAACCCAAAAGGAGTGGCAGCCAAAGCGTGGCGGCCAGACTCGTCTTCTTCCGAAGTCTTTCTTCCTTTCTTCAGGATTCCTTCTCCAGGCTTCTGGGGTCCTGCGGTGGACTCCTTGCTCGATCCTAGCAGGTCGCGGTCCTTCAAGGCATCTATCTCCATGTCCTCGATCCCTTTCGGGGGGCGTCTGGAAGAATTCTCTTTCCCCCGGCCCTTGGACCTCCCGCTCAGAGCCCACCAGGCGCGCGAAGCGCCCATCAGCTTGATGCTCTTCTTTCCGTTTCCTTTGTACAATCGTGATCCCGATTTGGCTAGATAGGTTTTCCAGCCCCGTTCCGACCCGGTCCAAGGCGAAACAACGTTGAACCCAACATCCGCCACCAAGACCTCTTCCAACCTCAGGAAAACATCTCCAAAATGAACCTCAAGGTCGACAACCCCCGAAACGACGATCGCACCACCCGAGGCGTTGAACAGATTGGCCGTTCGGTCGTACTTCTTGACAACACGAAATCCTGAGAGATGTTTGTCAGAAACAATGTGGCAGGTGGCTCCACTATCGACTAGCCACAGGTCCCCAGGAGTAGTCTCGAGGGCCTTGCAGACATGAGCTACGTCGCCGTGCTTCAACACACGGGATCCTAAGGAGCCCATAGACTCAGAACCTCGACTCTCAGACCTAGGCGACCCTTCGGGTCCTGCACCCGGCTTCGGAACTACAAGGGCGGACGGCTCAGGTCTCTCAGGCTGGCTCAGAACACGGCGTTCCGAAGAAGAGGGCTCCGAAGAACCACGCCCAGGACAGGAAAACCTCATCGCCATCACTGTGGCGCTTCCTCCCGACTCGGCCTCGGACTCCGGCTCTGTCAAGGAGCGTCCCTTTCCAGGCTGTCCCTTCTTCTTTTTCTTCTGCTTCTTGCCTTTGTCCTTTCCTTTGTCGCCTTTTCCTTTGTCGCCCTTGCCCTTCTCGGAACCACGAGGCGTGCCAGATCCCTTGGGAGTCTGGTCGCCTTTGCCTTTCGGCTTTCCTTTGTCTCCTTTCCCTTTGCCCTTCGGAGCACCACCGCGTTCGCGTTCTTCCTTTTGGCGCTGCCAACACTTGTCGGCTGTGTGTCCCTTCTTCCCGCAGTAGTCGCAAAGCTTCTCCTGCAAGGCTCGGCCCGAAGACCCAGGGGCCTCACACAGTCGCAGCTGCTCCTCGTAGTAAGTCAGCGTCCTTCGAAGAGCTTCCCAGTTCGAGCTGGACCCGTGCAGTACCACGTACTGACGCACTTCTGCACCCAAGCTCTGCAAAAGGACAGAGCAGCGGTCAGCCTCAGACAGCTGAAGCTCCGGAAAGTTGCTCAGCTTCGCTTCAGACTTCGAAAACGAATCCTCAAGATGTCGAATCAAGTCGGTGGGCCTCTTCAAATGCCCAACGTGCTGGTACAACTTCAAAGCCTGTTCTCTCACGAAGACAGCTTCCATCCGCGACACGATGGAGTACTGAGAGGTAATCGTTCTAATCACCTCGTAGCCGCAGGCGCTCTGCCCCTGCCTCTTCGAGCAGGACCTCAAGAGCTCGCTTCCCCGCTCCCACTTGGCGAGGGACTGCGTCAAGTAGTAGAACAGCTTGGAGCTACGCGCGGCAGTCTCGGGATTCAAGTCAGCTTGCACAATCTCCTTCTTCACAGGGATACAAAGCTGCAGTTCCCGAACAAACGCTTCTTCCTGCAGGGCAAGCCAGGAACTCAGCGTCTCCATAAAGGAGTGCCAAGTCTCTACCTCCTTCATGCGCCCTTTCCCCATGCCTTGATGGTCTATCACCGGAAGGTTCGGCAGATACTTCTCTGCACGGCCTCCAGCACCAGAGTACCCAGAGGAGACGGAACTGCCGGAGAAACTGCCGAACTCGCGGCAGAACTGCTCGCGGGAGCAGTGCTCGGCTGGAAGGGGTCCCGAGTCTTAGCTGCCTCTGCTGCCTGCTTGGCCGCTTCAGCTGCCTCGTGAACTTTCTCTTCCGCTTTGTTCCTTCTCTCTTCTTCCAGATCCATTCTCCGGAGCATCGTCGCAACGAGCTGCTGGTTCATTGCCATCATCTCTCTCTGCTGACGAAGCAATTCCATCATGAATCCAGGCATCTGCTCAGGCGTAAAACCTGCAGAACCAGAGCTGCTACTCGGAGCAGCAGCCTTCGGACTCTGAACAGGTGGAGCCGACGCCTTTGGACTTTGCACAGGAGGCACGGTAGCACCAGTCGGCGAACCCCCGCTGGTACAGAAGGCTGTGCTTGCGTAGGAGCAGGAGCCGGACCTTGGACAGGAGCAAACGGATTCGCTCCCTGCTGAGCAGCCGCTTCAGGCGCTGCCGCAGCTGGTCCTGGACCAAAAAGCTCGAACTCTTGTTCTGCAGTGGTCTCCGGCACAGGAACGTCTGCCATGGCTTTACTAGGAACGCACTCAGCGCTCCGCTACCATGTGAAAAACGCAGAGCAAGTCTCTTTTCACTCCACGCTTGAGCCAAACACCGAAGTGTTTAGCAAGGTCTCTTGCGGAGTCTCGCGCAGCAAATTCCGTCTCAACTTTGCTAAACAAAGGAGGAATGACATGCAACTGTCCTAACACTTCTCAGGACTTCTGTACTCACTCAAACAGCAGTGCACAGCCACTCTGTCCCTTGGCCTGTTTCCACCGGCACGAGCGAAGCGAGGGTCGGCGGAAAACAGCAACAGTGCAGTTAGAGCAACACGCACTTCTTCAAGGATGCCCAAAAGCATCTCTAGTGCTGTAAGCGCTCATCATGGTCTTCAAGACAAGTGCAAACATGAAACATGTGTTCGCCATGCAAATGCCTGTTCAAGCTTCCAAAAAACAGTTCAAGGTAAAAAAGGATGAAACCTTTCTCATGCGCAAAACAAGCATGTCGGTACTCAAGGGCACACCTAAAAGGAGCAAACTTTTCATACAAATTGCTACTGGCGCTCAAGGTTGAGAGAAAGCGTTCTGATTTTTTTTTGAAACTGTTCGAACCACTATGCTCGACTCTCTGCTACCCTTTTCGTGTGCGTAACATGCATAAAACATTTTTTGGGCGGCCTATGCAAAGCAAGTACAAGTCAGTTGAGATCCAGTAGAGCCAATCAAAAATACTGCAATCAGAAAGTTCCTTGCCAAGGAAGCGAATCCAAGCCTCTATATAGTTGGTTGTCTTTCCAGTTTTGGTACAGGCACACAACTTCTTGCCGTAGCCATCCTTTGGTACACAGCCTTTTCTCGAGCGATAATGCTTGATAAGCCATGTTGTTTTGGCACCTTTCTGTACTGCTTACCAGGCAATCGAGACCTTCCAGACAAAGTCATCTTGTGAAAAACAGAGCGCGCAGCACTCGGTCTTTTTCTTGAGCCAAAGCGGAGTCGCGTCGGGCTCTGACTGACAGTGAAACACCTTGCAGCTGTCTGTCTCCAAGCAAAACACGTCAAGCACTAACGAAACGAGACGAAACGAACGTGCAGTCACTTCCTAACTCAAAAGCACTCCTCACAGCTTCAGGCATGCCGAAAACATCAGGACATCCAAGGTCAAATGGGATTTTCTTCCCGAGCGAGCAGACAGTCGCAGCTCCAAGGCTAAGTGGAAAAACAGACCTAAAACACTGATCTACAGAGGAGACTACCTGCCTACGGAAGCCTTGCCCCGTCACCCGAAAGTAACGAGGCAAAGCTGTTGCACGCAAGTCCCACTGGACCAAGTGTTGCAAAACAGTGCCCTGCAGGTTTGCCAATGAGCCACAAATTCAACGGGCATGCAGGCAGGAATGGCACCTTCAGAGAACACCGTAGACAAAGCAAGCGGAAGCATCCCCGTGCTTCCCAAGTTCCAGCTGCCGGCAGCCCACTACGACTGTACACAGCGACTACCGTGGAACTACAGCTAACTGTACAACGCCAGCTAGAGTCGTACAGACATCTTCCGATGGCCGCACCACTCTAGCGCCAGTGACGCGTTGACTCGTTCCGTAAAGCTCTGGAACCGCCTCGAAGTACAGGAAACAACCAGTTTGGCAGCGCTGGGCCCAAGTGGACCCCCGCTGAGCAACTGTGAGTAACTCTCCCTGCTTGGCCAGCACAAGGCCAGAACTCCAAGAGCCTTCAAGACTGTACCCAAGAAAAGTGCACATATTCATCAACCCTTGGCAGTGTGGCTCTACTGCTGCTCACCGTGGGAGCGCAAAACAGCAAAACTGCACAAGAAACCCGCAAGGCTCAAGACTGGAAGCGAGCAGTGCACATAGTCATCATTCCTCAGTGTGTTGCGCTGGTGCTGCTCACAAATGGGATTTTCTCTCCGAGCGTCGCAAAAATCCACGCGGCTCCTAGGCCTAACAGTACAAGAAAGCAACTAGCAGAGCTAAGGATCTGACAGCCTAGCTACGGAAGCAAAACTCTACTGCCCACAGGCCATAGAGTCTTGCTGTTGCACGCGAGAGCTAGCTGGACCACAAAGCAGGTGGGTGGGAGCCGACAAATTCAACGGGCATGCACGGCAAGCCACCTTGCAATTTCAATCTTTACAAGGACGTCTGCACCAGTGTGACAAGTGACTGGTGTGCCTGAGGTCAAGGAGCCCTGCATACGAGCAGAGCTGTGCAGCTTGAGGACCTGGTGTTGCCAGCATGGCAACTTCTGTAAGAGAGTTCGCCGAAAACCAGCAGCAGCAGCCTTTGTACACTTTCTACACCTAACAAACTACCGCCGACTGTACACAGCGCCAACAAGTGATCGCATGAACACGCCAAGTGCCCACGCCATCACTTGTGAGTTTCCAGCGTAGTTTTCGACAAGTTTCGAACCAGAAAACCAGAACCATGCCCAGCACAGGTAGCAGCTGAAGGCATTCAGGGTGGCTTTGGGTAAAAGTGCACTTATTCATCAAACCACCAGGTGTTACCCGATTGCTGCTCACCAGGGGAGCGCATGCAAGGACAGTGCCAGCACAGGCAGCAGCTGCAGCAGCCAAGGCCACATACACGTGACCACGTAACAAGAGTTACACTTACACCTAATTCTATTGCAAACCAAGCGTCGAGCAGGCTCAAGTGGAAGGCAGCGCTAATGCAGCCAGCAAGGCGCAAAAGCAGCACATCTCAACCACGGTGCTTACGTAAAGGACAACTTGGCTTGTTTTGGCGTAGGTTTGGACTTGCCTGAGCTTTTGGGCTTCGCCACCATGGAAGGTTGCCCAAAAGCCAAGAGGGACTGCTTGGGCCCCGCCTCTGGTGCTGTAGACTCGTCACGTTTGGTGCCGAAAGGGACTGCTGCTTTAGTTTTGGGAACAGCAGGACCTGCTTGGCCCAAAGTGGTGTTACCCGAGCCTTGTGCCACCTTGCCCAGTTGGCTGACAGCTGCACGGCCGTCACAAGGTTTTTGCAGCTGCTTAGCTCCAACACCTGAGTGTGGCCGCTGCAGCCTGCCACATTTAGAACATGACCATTGCACACCCATGTTGACCATGGTATGTGATTCGTGAATGCCCCATTCTTTCAAGATCTCACCCCCACCAATGCAATGATGGGACATGAGGCGATTGAAACTGGCCTGTTCAGCAATCTGTTGCACGTACAAGCCGCATTTTCCACATTTCATCGTTAAGTTGGTTGGGCCTTCAGCGCCTTTGATCCACTGGTGACCCAAGGGATCCTCAGGCATTGCAAGTTTTTCCAACATGCGCTGTTTTTTGTTTAAGGGCTTGACAACACTAGAGCTAGGACAAGGGTTCTCAGCAGCCGGAACATCATGAGCTCGCAGAGCTCTGGACTTCGGCGCCTTAGTGGGTTTGGGTTTAGAAAAGGCGGCACTAGGGACAACCATGGGCCTAGGGACACCCTCAGGGACAACCTCACTAGTTTCCTTATTGCAGCGTTGCAAAATCCACGGAAAGTCATTGTCTTTTTTATGCAGAAGAACATGACCAATCTTACGGGCTAAATGCAAGCACACATCCTCGCAAACTTGATCAATCTCTGTGAGCCTAGGTCTGCTTGAAGCCCGGAACGCCTGTGCAGCACGTTTGCCACAAAGGTCGTCAACGTCGGCATTGATCAAGCGCCTCCATTCCGGAATGTCACGTTCAGCAAAGTAGGCTGCAGTTTTGTGACTGGAGACCCAGTGTACCTTTGCCCGCTCTCGACAGTGCCAGACAGACCCCCAGGGAACCTGTCCACAAAGAGGCGGGGCAGCCTTGCTGAGTATGTGCGTGATTGCCTTACAGTCTATCGTTATGTCAAAGTCATTCTCAACACGAGAGAACAATTCGAAAACCGCCTGCTGCTCAGCCGACGCAACTGTTAAAGGTTGTTCGGGAAAACACGTGACACTGGCAACCCTTATGGGAACACCTTCAACTAGTTTGTACGCTGCAATGGCCCAGGCTACACAGCTGGACCTTGGATCTTTGGCCCCTGGGCCACCAGATGCATCACTGGCATACACAAGATTGCCATCAGAAATGACACTGTGGGGGCCAGTCCACAGGCCCTCGTAAACAAAGCCAGTGGCCACACCGCGCGTGTCAAGTTGTGTGGCAGCCTTGGGGACTAAACCTCTTAACCACAAACTAGGCCAGGGAAAGAGTTCACGCTTTTTGGCGAGGTGCGGTGGCTCTGGAAACTTCTGGGAAGTGAAGGGACAGTCCCACAGAACGTGCTGCAAAGAAAGAGAGCACTTACACAACCTGCACCATCCCGGCTTGGAAGAGCCAACCAGAGCACCTTGCCAGAGGGCTTGCAAATTAACACGAGTGGACTTGTGAAAAAACCGACGTTTGAGAAGGCGCAATGGAACAGTGCGGTCAATGCCCGATGCAAGGTCATGGCAACCCTCCAGTGTTGCAATCCGCTTCAAACGCTCGCCTTCCCAAATTGGCAAAAGCCAGTGCCACACACACCGTGTAGCATCTGGGCATGTCCAGTCAACATGCAAAGTGCCTGACACATGAGTCCAAGTGGAACCCTGTTGGCATTGGACACCAAGTTCCATCAAGTAGGCCTGAAGGGCCGCAATGGGCCCATTGACCTTTTTCCAAGGGTGTGGAGAGGCTGAAAGCCAAAGCCAGATACTGGACCACGTACTGGAAAACTTGGCTGCATCCACACTTTGCCATCTACGAAATACCCTGGCAACAGCCCTTACGTGCTGGCGCAGCAAAGTTAGATGAGGGTCTTCACATTTATGGCAATGCAACAAGAAAGTGATATCAATGGAACCCAACTTCTGACGACCAATTTGCTTGGCACACAGGGTTCGATACCATTTGCGTCTTTTGGGGCTCACACCAGCAGCCTGATGTCCCCATAACCCGGCGGAACAAATTGACGCCCGGACAATGCGAACTCTGTGGGATACGCACTTAACACCAAGTTTGTTGAGCTTGTTTGAACGCTGCATTGCCTTGCGACGCCTCTGCTCAGCCAGACCGAGCAACCTACGGCGAGCGCCAGCAGAAGAGACCCCTAAGTCCCGCGCCATGGTTTTAACCTTGGGATCGTCGTCTGAAAGCAATCGATTCAAGGCTTTGGCCGCCTCCGCCGAAGACGCGACAAAAGAAGTTTTTGTTACAGAAACCTGGGCCCCTTTTGCGACAAAATCTTGCCTCAACCCCCGAAACAGTACAAGACTGTCACTGGCGACCTTTGAAGCGGATTTGTTAATCGTGTCCAGGGAAAGGTCATCGACCCAAACATCTAAGTTACAAACGCTATGCTTCATCACAAGTTTAGCAGCGATTGGATGAATAACGAGTTTGGTAATCGATGGTGCTGCTGGGCACCCAGCAAGCACACCTCGCCCTGGCCATATAGGCGGGCAAACGGCACCTTCCGACTGCACAACACGGGGACCAAGATAAGTCAAAAGTGCTTGGTGCAAAATGATGGGCGGATACGACAGTCGGATTCCGGAACTTATGATGTCATCAAAGAGACACCTGTCGTAGAATGTCTCCATATCAACAAATAAGGAAATAAGGTGCAGCTTGTCGCGGCGAACCGACTCTCCTAGCATTAATCTTGAAAGTGCAACATCAAGAACTTGCCCACCTGGAACCGCTTGATCCCAACTTGCTTTGTGGGTGTATGCGCGCTGCCAATCATCAACTAAGTGCCATCGCAATCTGACCCATGCCCGGTACAACACATGAAGGAGAGCAATTGGCCTTTCACGCTTCTCATTTTTTGGCAAAAGGGCAATCAAAGCGTAAACCAATTGGTCAGGCCAAGACGCCTGACGCTCGCAGTGGTGGTAAAATTGGATAATGGCTTTCACAGCTTCAGCATCAAGATTACGGAGGACCTCACAAGTCCATCCATCTAGACCTGGAGCTTTTATTGGAACCTTCCTGAAATACTTAATGGCCTTATCAAGCGAAATTGGTGGAAGGTGTGCAGCCTGCTCTATTGCTTTGGTTCGGAGCTCAGCACGAAGTTCAGGGTTCACGCCCGGTGGGTAGAACCAAAGTTCGTGCCATTGTCTCCACCTAAGATATATGCGCTCCTGCACCGGGGCATCTAAAAACGGCCTGATGGTGACAGCTTCCTCAGCTTTGATGCTCAAGAATAGAGGTCGCATACCTTTCACAGTAGACCGCCGCAACCACTGCAGGTAGGAAGCACTCTTGGAAGCCTGCCATGCACTGGAGTGAAAATGGTGTTGAGCCTTGGCACTCTCAAGCAATGGCGGAACACGGTCAACAAGGGAACAGTCAATGAGAGCCTGCAAATCCTGGGCAAACTTCTCACATGAGTCAAGGTCTCCATGCCACATCAACCGTAGATTCTTTGCAGCTGTTTTTGCAAAGCTGCTAACATGAACCTTCCGAAGGCAAGCATCAAACCAAACAATCATTCGGTGCCAAAAGGAAACCTGCGAGCCTCCCCATCCTGAACATGGAGCACAAGTGGGAATTAATGGCCGCCTGTGAACACTGACTTGGGCTCCCCTACCTTGGCAAACCCCATAAACAGAACGCTCAACGTCCTCACTCAGACTGGCAAATAACTCGGTGAGGCCTTTGCGAAGGCTGCCCAAACCCAGCATCCTGGGATGCTGGGAAGATGAAGCCTCCGCCTCAGCCTCTCCTGCCTCATCAATGGGCCTAGTCAAGACGAAGGGCTGGGATTGCAACGGCGATGGCCGAAAAGGCACAAGCTGAGGCACCTTGAAGTCTAGTTGATGCATGCCCAATGTCCAATGGAGGGCCGCATGCGGTGCAAAGGGTGTGCACCAATCAAGGGAGAGGCTAGCTGCAGCTGCAACAGAAGAGGACATAAGCCCGTAATCAATATTACCACCACCGGTACATGTGGAATCCCCTGCATCAACAAACCGGCCCTTAGCTTCCCGACCCAAGCTGGTCGCAGCAACGGTTTCGAAATCCTCATTCCAGTCCCCCGAAACAAAATATATACCCTTATTTTCACTTGTGTAAAGTTACCGCGTGAACCTGAACAATGCATGGATGCCATACGGAGAACATATTTCAATCGGCTGGCATCAATCGAATCATAAGGAGAAATATTTATCATGAAAACAGAATTTCTCCAATCTGTATATTAAACATAATTGCGTATCTCAAGAGTTCGCAACGCACTGACTCGACAGCACAAGACTTTTCCTCGTAGGTGGCATGGGGAATCCGTCGATTGTCTCAGCTAGGGAAAAACTCTTGGACATCCCAAGTGAATGCGGTACATCCCGCTTCCCCCCGGGTGGGTGGGTGGGAGAACAAAAATTGCGCCCTACCTCAGAGCACAACGGCAACTGGAATTTCGCATCTTCGCATGGCTCAACAGTTGCAGACTGACATCAAGAGACGTTTGAAAACTCAAGCGTTGATTTTGAAATAAGATTTCAAAATCAAACTTTCCACGTGAAAATAATACCGTACGCAGGCAAGCTGCGATGGTGGCTTATTTTCACTTGTGTAAAGTTACCGCGTGAACCTGAACAATGCATGGATGCCATACGGAGAACATATTTCAATCGGCTGGCATCAATCGAATCATAAGGAGAAATATTTATCATGAAAACAGAATTTCTCCAATCTGTATATTAAACATAATTGCGTATCTCAAGAGTTCGCAACGCACTCACTCGACAGCACAAGACTTTTCCTCGTAGGTGGCATGGGGAATCCGTCGATTGTCTCAGCTAGGGAAAAACTCTTGGACATCCCAAGTGAATGCGGTACATCCCGCTTCCCCCTGAGAACATGTACCCCATTCACCCAAAGACTTCAGGAAGCGCGCGACTCAAGAGATTCATGTCAAGATCGACACGTGGTGCACCTCGGATGATCACGCCACGCGATGGGTCGTCTTTTTTTTCACTTTCAACCGCAGACGAGAGTCTCTCTGTCTAGCGAACTACGTGACCTTTCGCCACGGCTGCTCAGTGGCAGCAGAACTAAGAGTGTCCCCTACCCCGTATCCTGAGGACACGAGTGTCTTACTCAGGACGGAACTCCAGCGCACTGAGCGCTGACCCTACATTGTACAGCATGGGGCCGTAGAACGGCTCCCAAAACTACCAAAACTACCCTAGCTGCGTCAGAGCCCTTCACTGCTGACCAGCCTGGTCGCACACACCAGGTAGCAGTTCCTTTCAACTTGTTTCGGCACGGCTTTGCACCAAGCAGCTGGCTTTCCGTCATCGGTGTGCCAGCCCCCGTTTGCCTGCGGGTGGAACAGCATGGTGCGATAATGCCCTGCACTGACTGTTGCGCCTAGGTGATAGATCACTGCATTCACACGGTAGTCGCACCATTTGATTGAATCATCCCTTGAGGCATCGGTTGAGGCGAACACCGGTATACGGATGCAACGGTGCTGGACATCCAGGCTGATGGATTGTTTGGCTTTCTGAACCCGGGCACCGGTTTGCACAAACCTCGGCAATTGGAGCCACAGCATTTGTGGCGCTTCAATAAGTGCCTGCACCGCGATGACCCCGTGCCAGGAGGTGATCGTTTCCTGTAGGATCGGTGTTTGCAGACCAGTGTCGGGATCGAGGATTAACAATCGGGAGTCCTGCATTGGCTGCAGGTGTTGGTAGACCCCGTCCACCTGCACTCGACGGCACCACGAAACTACACTGGGGACCCAGCTCAGGCTACGAAGCAGATGTGATGCAAGCTCAGCCACATCGTGTTGCACATGTGGTTGTCCCCACCCCAGCAGGTGGAACCTGAGAAGAGCAAGTGGTTTGGTTTCTGCTTTACTAATGGCGTTTATCCAAGCCTGAGGCAAAGCAAGTTCACTCTGCATCATTGTCACCTGCCACATAAGTGCATGCAGAAAGGCATTGAGATAGCACGTGTTGGAGCCATTGTGTAGGGAGGCTTGCAGGATTAAGTGTTGCACATGATTGGTGACTGGCCTCCCTGGCTGAGCAGCTTCATCAGCTCTTGCACTGGGTTGGATCGGCGCATTCCGTCCTTTCTGAGCTGGCATCCTATGAGCTGCCATGCTGCATTGTTCTCCAGCTTCGCGAGGCTCTGGTAAAGTTGATCCGCTTCTGTGCTTCTGAGAGAAACCTCCAACTTGAAAACCGCCTTGTTCTCCGTCTCCTGTGTGTGCTTGATCTTTCGCGGCGCATGGAAACGCAGCACCAAGGATTCCAGGATGAGCGGCTCGATCTCCGTCAAGGTTTGCATCACTTCGGTCGTCAGGAGACCCGGCATCGTGGGATGAGGTACCAGTTTTGCATTCTCTGCGTCCCACTTTTGGTACAGAAGCCGGTCTTGCTGGTCGAGCCATCCTGCGCTGATGGCCAGTTGCTTGGCTTCCTGTTTCTTTTCCAGATTCTGGAGGCGTACCTTGAGCTCCGCGATCATCAGGGTTAGCAGTGTGATCCGTAGCGGTTGCGTGATCTTCGCCGGCTCGTTGTCCTTGATCTGGTTCCAGGCGATGCTTGCTTTGTAGAGGCTGGTGAGTAGTCCTGCCGGCCCCGTCTGGGCCATGAAGACCGTGAAGCCCCGATCCATCTTTGCGGCGTTGATGCTGTCCTCGTGCTGGAGCAGGATGCGCGATATCAGATTGAGGAGCCTGCCGCCATCCTTCGTCAGCGCCTCTGCTGGGGCCGAGTTTCGGCTCCCCTGTCCCCCCTGTCCTCGGCGTGTGCGTCGTCTCTTGCCCCCGTCCTTGCCGGACTCGTCTCCCTTGTTGTTCTGCTGTTGCGGCGTGGCTGGGGGTCTCTTGTTGGACTCGCTCAGGCCCGGCAGCAGGTAGCCGAACATCTGGATCTGTTCCTGGGTTGTGGCCATGGCTGGGAATGAGTCCAAGGATCGCAGACTGAAGGATGACGCAGCACTGCTTAAAGTGACGACTTTAGGAAGTGCGTTGGCAGTACGGGCAGATACCATCTCGCGTGAGCCGGGGCTTGAAGACAGAGCAGGTGCTTTCGAGCCGCTCCGAGACCTGCTTCCAAATTTCAGGATGGGAGTATCGCATGTGTCGTTTGATGGACGTTGTGTCAACCATCCATCTGGCACAAATGCAGCAGTGCTGTTTTAAGTCCTCTGCATGCTCGCTGTTCACCAGGGCTTCCCACCCTTGGTCACGAATCAAGGCCGCGACTTGAATATTTCGATGCGGTGGCAATCGTGGCTGCTCCTCCGTGGCCTGGGCTGCTGGGGTGATGTTAACCGGAGGGGGGGCCACAGGCAGTGCAGGGCCGGTACTCGGCTCCGGGTTGTTCTCTCCCTGCTGGTGGCATTGACCTTTTGCAATGTGGGTCTTTAGTGCTTGCCAACTCTGGAACTTGTGCTTGCATCCTGCACACTGCGGCAGGCTTCCAATGGCATGTACGGCCGGGTCGAATTTGATTTCTGGCCTCTGGAATTCAGGGTGTTTTCGCCTAAGGTGTTTGCGAACGCTAGTCAGGTTATCAAAATAAACCCCACAAACTGGACACGGCACGCCTATTCCCTCCACGCCGTCCTGCTTGGGCCGCTCGATCGGAATCACCTGCTGGAAGGTTTCCATAGCATGTGTCAGCTGTTGCAGTGCCTGGGGCCTGGCAACAATGTTCTCAGGTTGTGTCGCCTGCAGTGTGCGAAGTTCGGCGAGCCGGTTCTTAGCCAACGTGAGCAGATCTTCGGTCCACTCGACACAATCGAACAGTTTCCTGATCTCAGCATTGGATTCATGCGTTAGATGTGCTGGGCGACCTGCTATTGAGCGAAGCTGCCTTGCCGACATGGCGAGAAGTTGCGTGCGGCCTGTGACGGTGAGGCCGGTGGCTAGTAACCCGTAGCATGCGCTGGCCTGGACGCCTGCCTTCCAAATGCGGTAACGGTGTTTGCGTGTGACAAGCCTCTTGGCATGAAGTGTTTTCCGCAGCAATGCATACTGTCCCCGGGCCTTGCTGAGCCGATGTTGCAAGGTAAGTGTCTGTGGGTCCCTGTAGGCCAGGATCGTGCCTAAGTATTCATGGTGTTTCTTGATCGGCACCAATGTTTCAGGAGACTCCCGGGCCAGCAGGTAAGTTTGCTCTTGGCGTCTCACCTTAGCATGCCTGAGGATTTTCTTGACTTCATTGCCTTGCAGGTTGTACAGCACAGCACATTTGCTTGGTTCGATCGCCATGCCGTGTGCCTCAAGGACTGTAATAATAAGCTGGATGTCCCCTAGTGCCTGGCGAAGGCTGGCAGCATCTTGGATTTTCCAGGCGGCAAAGGCATCGTCCGCGTACCAGGTGAGTCCATCCTCCGTCCATCCGTTTGGTGTGCTTTCGCCGATTTTATCAATGAGCAGGATGGTATACGCAATGAACAAATAGGGTGCAATGTTGCAGCCTTGCTTTATGCCTTGGGTGGGCATTACGGGCCGGATATCGGCTCCGATCCTTGTCCAATACTGTGACTGGTGCAGTTGTTGCATGATGAGATGTACTAGATCCGGCTCCACCTGCAGTCTGAACAGACTCTCGGCCAACCTGTGCCTCGGAACCGCATCAAAAGCACCTTTGAGATCTAAGCTGAAGCAAATGCCGCCAAAACAAGATTTGGGCTCCTGGCCGGAATGTCTTGCATAAATGGATGTGCGTTGAGCTTCGATCTCCTGGCTTGTCCGAGTGAGGTGCCCATGTGCTCGCAACAAGGCGTCCAAAGTGGATCTACCTTTGGCATACGCAAACTGCGGTCGTGTAATCAATGCCTGCGTGAGGACGGGCAGCAGTCGGGACCTAAGCAGGGTGCAGATGGATTTGCCCATGGGGTGTACCAACCCAATGGGTCTAAGATTGGCTAGCAGGCTGGGATCCTTATTGGGCTTCGGCATCCAGACCATATTGGCGTCTTTCCAGATGGAGGGTGCACTTCCAGTTTGACCTGAGCTCCACATGTGGGTGACCGGGCAGAAGAAGGTCTCAGCAAGGTCCTCGGCGCTGTTTTTCCATAATGCAGACGGTGCCGCTCCCGGCGGCGCTGCCTTCCGAATCGGCAACCTGCGAAGGGCAGACTGAAGTTGATCACTCGTGATGGCGAGACCCTCCAGGAGCACACCTGTCGGACGGTAGTCGGTGCCCTTGCAAAATTTGTCCTGGGCGTACACCGTTAGGGCCTGTAACTGGAGTGTTGGCGTGAGGAGCTCGCCCGACGGCCCACGGATGCTGGGCTTAGCCACTGGCTTCCAGGGGGCCAGTCTACGAACGGCCGCATAGGTGCTTCCTTGGTCCCCTCGCCTGGCCGCCTGCTCCAGTTCACCCATGATGTCTTGGATCTTCTGTCGTTTGATCTTCTTGGCTTGGTCTCGCAGTTGTTTGGATGCTCGCTTAAACTGGGTCCACAACCGCCATTTTCGAAGGATGTTTTGCCTATTGCATCTGCCTATGGACCGATACGACCTGTAAAGACTCCATAGCTCTTTGGTTAAAAGAGTAAATTGGGGGTCCTGGCTTACTCGTCGGTCTTCCCTGCCTCGGGCTGGGTACATCTGTTCAGCTCTCCGAATCAGGATACTGTCTACCTTGACTGTAAGCTCACCGGGGCTCAATGCGTCTGGGATTTGAGACAGGTCGTGTGCAACCTGAGATCGGAGTTGTTGGGCCTGGGTATCCTGCCTAGCGATCGAGTCTTGCATGGCAGCTTTGTCAATCATTGCACCGGCTGGCTTCGGCTGCCGAATCAGGTGCCAAGGTGACACCAGTTTGATGGAGGCCTGTACGGGGAAGTGCCGGTTTGCTTTCCAGGCTCCGACGGGGCATGCTGGTAGAGAGTCGCTCTGCTTGGCCAGTCGATCAGCCCATTGTACTCGAACGGCAACGAAATCAATCTGGCTAAGGGCCCCACTTGTAAGGTTGGTGGCCTTGTTCCTACCGTGCCAAGTGTTCAGGAGACAGAGCCCATGGGTTTGCAGGAGCTCCGGCAGGCCTTCGCCTGCGTCCTTGTCTCCGTCATGCCCCCGCTTCTGCAGGAGAGCTCTGCCAACATGCGGTGTAAGTTCATGAACCTCTGCATTGAAGTCCCCGCCTAGAATGCATGTGTGTCGCAAGGGGCAGGAACCTAAAGCTTGCCCAATCGCACGATACACTGAGGTCCTAGCTGCTTGGTTCTGGGCCGTTGTGTGGTGGCTGCGCCAGACGTGCTGATAGACGTTTATCACGTCTATTGCTCCGAATTGCTGGTGGATCCTGGTGTGATGGACCCGTCCCTTCAAATACGTCTTGCACTGTATAGCTTCGGAGGGGCCCAGCCTCGAATGCACAAGTGTCGCTAGTCCTGAGCATTTGTCTTTATCAGCAATGGGTGTGCCAACACAGTGCCACTTACCTGAGGTGAAGTCTGACCAGCTCGTCCAGTGAGTCTCCTGAAGGAGAATAAGGTCAAATCGCAGTGCTTCCGCTGTACTGAGCCAGGCCTGAAATTCCTGCCACATTGCACTGGACAAGCCAGACACATTGAAGGTAAGAACCTGAACCCGAGTGGCCGGGTGCCTGGCGGTGGTGAGGGGCCGACCACGGCTCCCTTGTTGTGCTGTCGAAGTAGATCTGGGCTCGCGCGGGGGCAGTGGTTTGCCGTACTGTGCTTGCAATTCACTGGCACTGCACAGTGAGCCTCTGTACATGGTGGGTCCTTTAGCAGCTCGTGCGCGAGCTCGACGATATGCTCTTTTAGCACTCCAAGGGTACACAAGAGCATCTGGGGATCGGGCATTGTATGGAGTAGCTGTGCCAGCGCCTTCACGGGTCGGAGTTGTAAGACCTGGTGGTGAACATCCCGTTCCCGAGACCCCGCTGGTGTGGGTCTCAACCCTCGATTCTCCAACTCCCCTTGCTGCCTGAAGTTGAGTTAAGACGAGAGCCCCGAAGAGCAGTCGCCGATGCCAATGTAGTACCTGGACTCCACGTGGCTTGGTTCTAGGGGAGTTGTCCCCGGATTTGGGACCGGGGCAGCTCGAAACATATCTGGTGCATGTGTAGGTCTTGTCTTGTTGGCTTAGGTCCGGGCTGGGGCTCCGGCTGGTCGGATATATGTAGCTCGCTATCAAACAGAGAACACAGTACCAGTGCTTGATGAGATTTGCGACAGCAGTCGCCAAGCTCAGGACTGGAGTATGCAGACTGAAGTTCATGGCGAAAGGTCCAAGCAGATGATCCAAAAATTGCAGCTGCGTTCGGTCCTGATTTTGCCGCCTTGGTTGCTGGATGCAACGATCTACTTTACTTCCGCTCGAAGTCGGGCCAGCATCCAGTGAGCACACATTGGCTCTTAATCTTGTAACATCTGGCGCATCTCCAGCCTGCTCGGACGAGCATCTTCGGTGCCACCTTGCCACATATCTGTGGGCCGCGGGAGACCACTCTCCCCACTGACCCAGTTGTTGCAGGCATGTCTCCAGGGTTCGCCATGGGTGCCTCGGAGGAGGGAGGCCCAACTGTGTCCTTATCATCATCGGTGTCCTCCCTTCCCAGGTCCTCGCTTGAGTCGTCGAGCGTTCCAGTGGCCATCCCCTGAGCCAGGCAGGTGCCAAAAGCTTTGGCATCGAGCTCAGTGGAGCTTGGTGCAGCGACCGATACCTCTTCCATCGAGCTTGTGGCACTGGAGGATATATCACTGCTATCTGTGAACCACGATGGCGATGTGGAGTCCTCAGGCTCAGCTCGGCGATGAGTGCAAGGAACCCGGGCTGTGATTGCTTGTTTAGCTTTCGCTTTCGCCTTCGTTGGTGGCCCTGAGCGACATCGTGGCTTTGGCTTGGCCTTGGGTGCCGCCTTCGCCTTGGCTTTGGATGCAGCTGTGCCTGTGCTGCTGCGCGACCGTGCTCTCGGAGGCACAGCCTTTGTAGCCTTCTTCCCCATGAACACTGCCCCGGTGCAGAATGAAAAGGCAGGGTGAGAAAGAGGAGTAGGGCCGCCAGCAGCTGCAGCGAAGCTGAAATGACAAGTAAACCCCAGCACAGTCTAAGGCAGCCAGCAGCACTGGATTGCAACTTCGGTCCAAAGTGTGCCGCCTTTATTCTCCTCCATTGGCTGAGGTTGCCACGTGCTAGGCGTTGTCTATGGTACCTGCAAGGGCAAATGCGGTGCATCATGTAATGTCCTCGGGACCAAGTGCCAGGACGCCACAGGCTGCTGAACATGAGCCATAAGGTTGGCCTGTGTGTTCGGCCTCGTCGTTGTCCCAGGGGTGGCAGCCTAGCAGCAGCACAGAAAGTGAGCACGACAATCCAGGGGAGCAGTGACGCCGGCGGCTCCCCAAGGTTGGGGCCGAGAAGTGAATCCAAGACCTCTGTGTGACAGAGACACATCCACGGTTCGGGCTCGGGCCACGGCTCACCAAGGGTGGGGCCGATGGGGCCATCCACAGCCTGTGTCCAGTCGTGCAGTGCCGACGTCCAATGGAGAGCCCGGGTTGGCCTGGCTCCTGTTCCGGATATCCATGGTGGACCTCGGCAGGGGGCTTTGACAGCAACATGCTGTGTGCTACTGTGCGGGTCGCATGGCCAGACAGGAAGTGCAGGAGATGCAAGCATGTATGCAGCACTGTCGGAACCCTGCTCAGCCGTCTCGGCCGCACTCTGCAATGACTGTGCCTGTACACTGGCAACCTGGGCTACATCGGGGGCCGGTGAAACGGCACTCCCTGAGGCCTTGTCCCTCTCTGCTGTGGCCACCTGCATCACTGGGACTCCAGTCGGTTTCGGGTCCAATGCTTCATCGGCAGCACTCGGATGCGGCGGCAAGTGCAGTAGCGGGAGAGAAGCCAGTCCAGCAGACCCAGCAGCATTCGCCTCTGTCGGTCCATTGAGTGAGGGGCGTGCGCTTGGAGGTGCCATCCGTGATTCATTTTGCGCCCTCTCCATGATGTCCTGTACGACGGCCTTGGCGCGGTCCTGTTGCTGCAGCGTTCCATCCAAGAGGAGCGTCCACCGCCCCTCCTTGGAGGGGCGGGCGGAGAGAAGGACCTGCAAAAGCCCAGATTCCTTCTTGATGTGATCCAGCTGAGCGGCGAGCTGCGGAATCCCAATGCCGTCCGGAAGCCTCAGCAAAAGGGTTCGTCTGTCCTGCGTCTCCGTCTGTGGGCTTTGGGTCATTGGGCTCGCTTTGCTAGGACCACTGTGGCCAGAAGTAGGAGCCTCTGCTGGCTTCACCGGCTCAGGATCTTCTGATTGCCTCTTGGAGTCTGCACGGCGCCCTGTGCTTTGCAGATTGGCCCCCCAGCCAGCATCCCCATCAGACGCTTGCCTTCTCCATGTGGAACTGCTGGCAGCATCGGTACTTTCCTGCCAGTCTCGCTGTCCCCGTCCTTTAGCTGCTCCTGGGCCTTGGTCCTGCCACCACGCTCGTCGAGCCTGCTTCTCGCCGGAGGTACGTCTGCGAGTTCCGTCTGCTCGAAAATGTGAGCGCGGCTTTTCCCTCTTGGGCTTCGGACCTTCACCGCCGGGGGCCGACATGCTCGGCTCTTCCCTATATGCAAGGGCTTAAGGAGAAACTGCGGTTGCAAAGCACGGTCCAACCAACATTTCCCAGGCAAAGGTGAGCAAGTGGCGTATGAGGCGACAGTTGAGGCCCAAGCTTGCGATTCCGAAGGGGGTGCCGGGTCACGAAGCTCAAGCTGGTCCTGGCAAGTGCAAGTAGTAAAGAATCCTGCATGACACACGATCGCTGGCTCCTGTGAAGTACTCGTAGCGGGCTGGGGGCCGGTCACGGCTCCCCGAGCAATGTCCTGCGGACCTTCAGTCCATCTCGTGCAGGTTCTGTTGCTGGCTCTGGCGGGCCCTAGCATCGAACCTTTCCTGTGCCTTGTCGATGGCAAGCTGACACAATGCATCACGCTGAGCTCTTGCGGTCTGAGCAGACTGTCCCTGGGCACTGGCAGACTGTGCAGTGGTGGCCTTGCAGGCGGCCCGGTGCTCGTTGGATTGGACCTGTTGTTGATTGCATTTGCCTGCATCCAAACAATGGTCACATGACACAAAATTGCTAGGCATCTTGTTCGTCGAAGAGCGATCCCTGTCCATGCCATGCGCGAAGAAGCTACCGAACGTCGTGGAGCCACGGTTAAAAGCCGAACCTGTTAAGCCCCAGGGCCCGGTTCCAAAACAAAAGAAGACCTACAACAAAACAAAACTTGAGCCAGAATCTTCGATGGGTCGTCTGCAGGATTGGAAGAGGATGGCACACGATCTAGCCAGCAGATCGTTTCCAGGCTCTCTTCGCAGCAAGCAAAGAAGTCGATCAAGGCAGCACAAGAAGCATTGTCACTATGGCCTCTGACGAAGCTTCCGAACACGCCCTCATTGTCAGTGAAAATGACAACACCTTTCCGCTCGACGTACGGGCGAAAGGCCTCGAGGCAAATGCTGAGCACAAGCGCCTCAAGCTCGAAGATCACAGTCTCCCTTTCGCGGTCACCAGCTTTCAAGAGCTTCTGCACATGTACTGGGGCAACAGCTTGACCAAACCAGCACAACGCCTCACCAGAAGAACTGAAAACTACTCCTCCTAAACCACAATGGCCGTTTGGCTCGAAGGAAGCATCCACATACACATGGACAAAGTCTTCACGCCGCGCCCTGACTGGACGGGGCTTGGAACTTTCAAGGAAACTTTTCAGCTGAGTGAGTGCGAGCCGCGTGAGCTGGCTGACGTCCCATCTGCGTTGCCTGGAGTGCTGCGACAACAACTTCAAAGCCGCCTTTGGTCGCCGGCCAAAAATTTGGCAACAAGCGAACTGCAACCGGCCCCTTAGCTTTTCACTTTCTTTAGGTTCAAGCTTACCAGTTGCTAAAGCCCGCTCAATGTCACACAACGCCTCAGTCCGCCTCTTCACGGTGTTCTCCAAGTAAGCCAAACCGAGCTTGGCATCACGAAGGTTCACTTGCACTCCCAGGACGACGCAAAGTGCATCGTAGCTGAGCTCCTTATCCTTCGAGATCTCCCATCCCAGCAGTTGGAATAACATGGAGATTACAAAGTCGTTATGCCGAGCAAAAGCCTTGCCGCAAAGATTCAGATAGTCATCAAAATATTCACTCCAGACAAGAGTCAACCCTACGGCACCTACTTTCCAAATGGCGTAAGCCGTTCTTATGAAGCTGGTCACGCTGGCTGTTGAGCCGAAGGGAAGCACCCGCTGGCGATAGATTTCGCTCGCCCCACGCTCAATGTTGAAGAGCACAAAGAAACTATCTAAGGCGTAAGCTAAATCCGAAAGGGGAAGTTGTTTATAGGCGGTGCGCAGGTCCCACGCCTTGCACACTGGCGTGCTGTGCTCTGGGCGCCCGTTGACGAACCACTCATTTAACCAACAGGCCAGCATCCCGGCCACCACATCAATGGTGTGCACGCTGACTTGTTCAACCTGCGTGACTGCGGCATTGACTTGGGAAGACAGGTAATTGTCTATGGGCCTCACCTTTAGACCGTCTTCAGTGCTCCCCTGAATGACTCCGAAACGATGGGTTAAGGACGCATCTTCAGGGATCTGGTCTGGAGACAACGGTCCGTCAACGAAGCCACGCTCAAGTTCCTTCATCGTCGCCTTAAGAACACCTTGGTCAATCACAGGATCCTCCGAAGCTTTGATCGTGGCCAGGAGACCATCACGCAGCCTCTTAGCGCTGGATCGAAGTTGAGATTCACTCTGCTCCGCAGGACGAAAGCGCTTAGCGAAAACATTTGATCTAGGCAGCTTGCCTGTCAAGTCAAACCCACGGGCAATGTCTTTGACAAGGTCAACGTCCTCATGTCCCACTTCAAGCAACAGCTCCTCGAAAAGAGCGAGGCGTTTAGGACTAAGAACATCCTTTCGAAACTGAGGAAGGTCAGCCTTTAGCGCGCGCTCGGCTGGCTCTAAGTCGGCTGCTCTGCTAACCCACCGGTGAAGTGTTGCGGTGCGCTCCTTGGCCACATTGGCCTCACCTTCTTTATGGATTCTCCGGACTGCACAGGAGATCTCGGAAGGCATGAGAGCAGAGAGCTGCGTGGGGTGCCCAACCTTAATTGCCTGTTCAACAAACTGCGATGGTGTCCGGTACACACCAATGACAGCCTTAGTCATGTCCCCAGGCGAGGCTTGGGACCCCGAGGCCGCTCGATCAAGCACAAATCCCAGGCTCTTCAAGAAAGAGGCGTGCTCAGCTTTAAGTTTCTTAGGGCCCCTCGGCATGTACGCAACAATGACGTCACGCCGGCCCGTCCAAGGCCTTGTGCAATGAAGGCGACGGCCATCGAACCTGAAGCCTTCATGGGTGACGGGAATGCAAACACCTCTCACTGCGCGACCTTTGATTTCAAGCTCGACGTCACCCGCAGGATCTTCCATCCAAACAGAGCCATCAGAAAAATCCGATAGCGCAGCAATCGCATTGTCTGTGGAAACTTCATTATTCGAGTCCCGGTGGGGCTGAGCGGACACATCCCTGAACATCCCAACAGTTCCGAACTCCAAACCTGGAAAAAGGCCTTTGACATAAGAGCACATTGCCTTGACAGTTTCCGGGAACTGCTTGGTCGTTGATCGCACCCCGCACATCGGGCCGTGAACAAAGCTGCCACCTTGGAACGATTTCGCTCCAGCATCGCCCTCCCAACGAAGAGGTTCTGAAGGAAGCAAGTCAAGCAACAAGGACAAGTCTTTGCGGTGTACTTTAGGCAACTTGTTCACAAGCGAAGCAACCCGCTCGGCAGAACCCGACATCATGGCTTCTCGAACCTCGGTATCGTCAGGATTCAGACCGAGAGAAGCCTCAGCACATCCAAGAACATTAACAAAAGGACGCTTTCTGCTAGAAGGCTTCAGCAGATTGCTCTTCGCAAAACCCTCGGCACCTAACACACGAGGGGCTGCAGGGACTAAACCGGAACTAGGGGAAACAGCCGTGGGACTAGGGCCAACCTCAATCCCCTTGCGCACCACATGGGCACGAAGGACACGGCTGCCTGCCGGAAAGCACTCGATTGCCGGAGAACAAGCAGCATCATCTCCGGGCTTCCACGGAGACGGGAGCTTTTGGCCAGGACGCAAGAAAGACGCGGCAAGATTGGAAGGCACAGTGACAGTGTGAACCGAAGCGAATTCGCTAAGCAGCGGAGGCACGCGCTTGCGAGTCTGGGCTCCAGTGAAAGCACGCGCGCCTTGGATGGCGGGTGCGCCTTCATCGATAGCTTTGGGAGATTGACGACAGCCAAGTTCCAAAAAGTGATCTTTCAGCAAGCTCGCCATGCACTTGCAGAGGCCCCAGGGGTAGGCCGTTTCGGCGCTGGTTGCCCACGTACGGCCGACCTTGCCCCAGCCCAGATGCACATGTTTGCCAGAGCACAAACGATGAAGCTCGCGGAATTTGGGGATGTTATGCACCAGGAGCGTCTCTTTGCGACGCATGCCACCAAACTCACAGTGATGAAAGACAGTTTGAAAGACATCCGAGCGCTTCAAGAACTGCTGCCACTGAGGAAGCAGCCAAAGGTAGCTGCGTCTCGGATTTTCACAGGAAAAATATTTGCCGTTCAGAAGACAGTAAGAACTTAGCTCAAGAGTCAACTTATACAGCATGTTAGCCTTTTGCACTCTAAGTGCAGGGATCTCCGAAAGATCAGGAACCCCTTCGGGGTGGCTCTCATTGCGGAGGACAGGTGGGGCTCCGGGAAACTGGATGTCACGGGCCCTGCTTGCGGTACCGCAGGGCGGCGCAAAATGAATGAATTTGACAGCGGGATCCTTCAAGATGCTCCACAGATGTGCAATGGAGGCCTCACAAGTAAGATCAAGCTGAAGGACTGAACAACATGCAGTTTTGCCGACCACATGGTCAACACCGAAGGCATCAAAACCTTCACTACGAAGGGAAGCACTGAGCCGCCCAGTTCCGCAAAAGACCTCCACGGTCACGACCTCACTCAAAGGCTGCCCTTCAAGTCGTTGAAGAGTAGCCTCAGCTGCAACAGTTCTGTCTGACGCGGCGAAGCCCTGACAGGGAGGACCGGATGACTGTCAAGAGTGGTCCTGCAAGCTATGCGGTTTCAGGCATCCCGGCTCAGCACACAAGTGAAGGCCCTTAGCGCACTTTCCGCCAGGCTTGGCGTCCTTGCAACCGCACGGCAAATTGAAACCCCAGCACAGACGGTGGCCTTTAGGAGTTTGATGCGCTTTGCCAACAAGCTCTTTTGGGACCGAGAAAGCATACCTCTTTGGAGCCTTCTTAGGGTTCGGAAGGCGAGGATTCGGACGCTTGGTAGGTGGATCGGGCTTGTCATCCAACTTTGCAGTGGAGGTTGAACCTGCTGGCAGGGGAAACAAGTGGTAAGCGACTGAAGGGTCGAGCAGGATGTTGGGAAGCTGCTCGTCCAACGGAAGTTTGCCCACGCCGCTGCGGCGCAAAGTGGGCAGCAACTCTGCCAGCCGGAGGAATGCCGCTCGATCAGCGCGGAGAACCTGAGCAATAGAGACCTTGGCATAGTTGGGAGGGGGAGCCTCCTGGAGACGTTGAACAAGTGCCTGATGATAGCGGTTAGCCACATCAAAACTCATGAGCCCAACAAGGTCGAATGCAAGCGCTCTGCGGCGCATGGCCAAAACCAAGTCTAGTTCAGAGTTGATGGCACAGTTGAGGACCTGGGGCTTATCCTTAACCGCAACGCCGCTCCCATCTATGACGAGCTCTTTAGAAGGCTTCTTGGCACTTATTTCTGCACGCCGCGTGTTGAACTTCTCAGGCGCCAACCAAATGAGCTCGTTCTTCTGGGCCATCGAGAAGACAAGGTCATATGCACCATGTGCAACCTCCTCTTCACCTTGAAATGTCAACCCGCCCAAACGTGTTTTCTGGCTTACCAAACGATCTTCTCGCTCGGCTATGTCAAGAGTGAGAGGCAAGGACTCCTCAGTGCGCTCCACCTTTTGTTTGAGGGCTGACACAATCAATGTATGGGCTTCGAAAAGAAGCCGCTTGAGCCCTGCTATGGCTCCCTGACTTGAACCTGCTGGGAGCAGCCCAACGACTGCACTGTCCTCAGGAACCTTCCCAGGAGGAACCAGGACAAAAGCTAACTTCGAGAGAGTGTCAACCTGTTTGGAGACAAGATGGTCCACTTCGGCTTGCGCTAGCCCGACCTCCAAAGCTCTCTTAGCGAAAGCAGGCTTGGATTCCGTGAAGGACGTTGCCACAGGCAACCCCGCCATTGCACCTCGCAATCTGCCCGGTTCCGAAAATTAAAAATCTTGAGCGCAAAAACACGCAAGTCAGAAATCTGCATATGCTGCCACAGCAAGTTCGACACAACGCTCGATCAAGCCCCCAGGTGCCTCGTGCAACCATTTGGCTCTCCTTTCGCACTCCGCAAAATTTTGCCCGCACTGCACCTCGCAGCTCGAGCCCTCGAACCTCCCGGAGTCCAGGATTGGCTCACTCGAACTGGCCACGAATCCCTTGGGCCGCACATCGCAGCCCAAAAGGATGCTCGACTGTTTGACAGACTGAGCTGGGTGCACCTCGCACCCAACCTGGAGTCGGCCGGACTTCCCGGCAACCACTCTTTGTGGAGCAACTCAGGCCGTGGCATAGAAATCATCGCTTCAAGCTTTTATTCAACACAGCATTCAAAGATCCGATGTCCCTCAAAGGTTTGCTCTTCTTGCAATTGACACAGAGACGAGTCTCCAGAAAAGCGCTTTGCGTCACCTTTGAGTAATCACCTGTTCTCTTACGGCCACAAGTGAACACATCTCCAGAAGCACCAACCGCAATGGAGTGGATGGTCATAGTTTTATCATGTCTCCAAAATTCCATGTCAGGCGCAGAGAGGTTAGACTTCTCAAGGGAATTCCCGAGCCCAGAATCGAAGGCATCGATCCAGTCAGTCCCAGGCTCCCCATCAGAACTGTCCGAGTCGCTCGACGATGAAGAAGACGAAGAACTTGGCGCGGGCTCAGGGGCCCGACTCTCAACTCCATCAACTTCGTCCTCAGCTTCACCCGAGAATTGATTATCAAGGAAAGACTGAGCTTCTCGTTCAGGCGTCCATGCAGCTTTGCTATAGTGCTGAGCCTCACCTTCAGACCCAACAGGAGTCTCGTCTCCGAAAACCCCACCATCACGCACGTGAGGAGGGGCCGTGCTGAGGCTGGGCTCGTGGCTGGGCTCCAGGACATGAGCCTCACCTTCAGCTTTGAATAACCCGGATCTAGTTGCATCTGGAATGAAAAGGCCATGCCGAATGCTTCGGAGCATTCCGTCATAAGCTCTCAGCGGTGCCGCAAGCTTGTCACGCATATAAGCATACATAGACAAACCCTTGAGGGCATGGTGACCAAGGAGGGTTTGAGCTTGCTCGCTGACTCCAAATTTGCCGCACCAATCAAGAGTGGTAGCCTTAAGCGAATGCCCTGACACACCATCGGAGCATTTGTTGCATCGGCTGAGTAACGCACGCAGCCACTGCCCAGCCTCATCTGTGGTCACTGCTCTTTGGCTCCACTCGCCGGACTCCAGCGGTGCGGGAAGAAGAGGCCCCGCGCGAGCTGAGTCGAACGCTAAACCCACTTCAGCAGCGACTGCCACGAACTTAGGTCCCCAAGGCTCTGGTCCAACCCCCCAGACAGGAGCTACTAAAGGCATAGATACTCCTTGCACGGCTGCTTGCCTTGCGGACTTGTGCACCCGAGTACCACATTCAAGAAAACCCTGAATTTCCCCAGCTGCGTCCACAGTGTCCACTATACACCTGTGGATCTTCTTCACATCACCGACTCGGCTTCTGCTGTAGATGCAAAACAAGAAAGCGCCACAGGCATAACGGTCCTTGGCATCAAGCTCTGTGTTGCCCAAGCACGCCTCGAGGAAAGAGACTTGCTCCACAGACAAAACAAGTGCACTCACACGCTCTGCCTTCTGCGACTGCATGAGGCCTTTAAGACCAATCGACCAAGGGCTAAAAATCTTGTCGGAAGGCCCGCGGCAACTGACTCCCACAACGTGGATCGCGAATCTCACCGATTCAGTGAACCCGTCAACAGCGCCGACTTTGGCATCACAAGCCCTCAAGTGCCTGACATACTCATCACATTTTTCGGTGGAAAAAGGAAAGGGGCCTGAGAAGGGCCGACACTCCTGCATGAACTTTACGTACTTAAGCAAAGATGCCGCACGCTTACTCACAGTGGCTACCTTCTTCCTGCCAAACAGTTCGCGTAGGGACTGCATGCCATCGGCAGTTCCCATGCCGGCCAAGGAAGAACCCACAAGCGAAACCGAAGGATCTAAGGTCAAAAGAAAATGCCACTTCTCAAGAGATCTCTGCCAGGCTCCAGCTTCAAGCTCAGCATCCGAAAGAACGTTCTTGAAGTTCACACACCCACGGAAGCAAGGCTGCCCAAAAGCGGCCGTCTTAACCCTCTTTGCAGCCTTGGCCTGTTCCTCAATCGGAGCATCTGCCGCTGTAGGGACTGGGAACACTATTTTGGGAGGCTCAGCAGGCAGAAGCTGATCTAAAGCACCCTTGCCAAAAATCAAATTCAAACCCGGCATTTCCCAAGGCAACTGAAGAACCTGCGGCTCACTGCATGAGAAGATTGCTTCGCGAATGGTCTCTTGAAGCTTTGACAAGTCGGGTTCTGAAGCTGCTGCCGGCACATCCATGCTCTCTTGACGGTTTGACAAGTCTGCCTCTGAGGCTGCTACCGCCACACCCCCTGCGCTACCGGAAGCAGCAGCAGAGGCGGACACAACCTGAAAACTGCTGGAAGCCTGAGAATCCCCATCAGCAGAATGCCCGCTCATTGCAGCTGGCGAACTCAGAGCGACTCACCCTCGGGGTCACACAGAGAAACCAGAATCCGTCTGCAGCGATGCACAAAACGCTCCAAGAAAGTTAGACGAATTTCTTGCTGACGCTGCGCGATCAAGGCAGCCCCAAGCTCCAATTCAGCTGCAGACACACGAGCCTGCAGACGGTCGACCTGCTGTTGGAGCTCTGCCAAATGAGAACTCAGAGCCTCGAAGTCAGAGGAAGAATCTGACGCCGCACCCGGGCCGGCCGGGCCAACGTCCATCTACCAGCCACGCGAGGCTGGCGTGCACAGCGCTCTAAGAGCAACGTCAGTGGGGACCTGTTCAGGACCTCTGTGGACTCCAGGCTCAACAGAGAACAAAAATTGCGCCCTACCTCAGAGCACAACGGCAACTGGAATTTCGCATCTTCGCATGGCTCAACAGTTGCAGACTGACATCAAGAGACGTTTGAAAACTCAAGCGTTGATTTTGAAATAAGATTTCAAAATCAAACTTTCCACGTGAAAATAATACCGTACGCAGGCAAGCTGCGATGGTGGCTTAATCGAGCGAAGAAAAGGGATCAACTTAGAAAGGACCAAAGAATTAGTCTGGCTCTGGAAACCCTCACCCGACTTCAAGTAAATGTTGATAACATATAAGTCGGTGTCCCTAAGCCTAAGCGCGGCAGCCTGAAACCCCACTCCATCATGGAGAAAATGATGGACCTTCCTGAGATTGAGGTGCTTGCGGAAGCATATGGACAGGCCGCCACTGACGCCGCCCTTAGCAGTTCGACGGCCCGGCAAACTGAACGCCGCGTACCCAAACGGGCCCAGCTGTGAATCAAGCAGATCAGGCAAATCTGGACTCAAGTGAGTTTCCTGGAGAAGGCACAGGGAAGGTTGGTGTTGTGCAATCCAGGGGCACAGGGCTTTGCGCCATGATGTCACATTCGCGCTAAGAATCTTGAGTTCGGGCCTCTGGGATTGGCATGAAAGATTGGCTAAGGCATCTTCCAAAGCCCAACATGCAACATGCTTTGGCACATCCTCCTGAGTCTCAACAGCAAGCTCAACAGCCTTCCACATGAAAGTACCCTCACTGATGATGCCCTGACTTTCCATGCTTTCAACCTTTGAGAGCAAAGGGCCTGAAGCTCCAGCAAGCACATCAGCCTTCAGAGCCTCCAAAGCCGCAGACTGCTGTGAAATCAAATTGGGGTTAGGGACGGCCAGGGTTTCCTCAGCGACTCGCCCGACCTGTTGACACGGGTTGGGGTTAGGAATTGGAAATACCTCATTCTGCCCCTCGTTCTGCCGCCGCGCAACTGAAGCAATATGTTTGACAGACACATCATCCGGAGCGGCTAAACCCGAAATTTCCCCTTCACTGGCAACTGCTGGAACTGCTGAAACTCCTGCAGACCCTTCTTTATGTGAAAATGCATTTTCTCCTAAAGATGGGTATGCGGACGGCGCAAAAAGCACCTGGTCATCCTGAGTGCAGCCTGCAGGGCGCACAGCAGCGCTTGGATGGGACATCGCATACCTTTGGTCACCAGCCTCAGGGCATGCTGGAACCGGATGATCATGAAAGTTCGGGCCACACTCAGAATTCTCAGACAACGAAATGTATTGCTCCCGCCAGGGTCCTCGGCCAGCGGCCACACCTCCTCCTGAGGGCCAATCCTCCGCGTGTGTGATATACCCACCTCCTGGACCCTGGAGGGAAACTCTATTAAGGGAAGCAATCCCAAAAGTACCACTACAGTAACGACCACCCTCCTCCTGGGCCCTGGGGGCCCTCATGGCATCAAGATTGGCTGCCGCGCAACCCAAAAGATGCTGGTCCTGGTCAGGACGCCCGCGCAATTCACCAGCGATGCCGCAATGCCCAGGAGTAGCATCCCAGCAATCAAAATTGGGGCTAGGGTCCCAAGACTGGGAAGCACACGGGGTAGGGAACGGTACTGAAAGATCATGGCCAGCCTGCGACCTGGAGCTATCAACGTCAACCACTTCTGCATGGACTGACGCCGCTGCACAAGGCTCAAGCACATCACCACCGTGATAAATCGGATCTGATAAGGGCCCTGAACCCTCAAGAACGTGTCGCAATCGGCGGTTGAGGCGCCTGCGGGCCCGTCTGGATACAGGGGTTTTCCGATTCGTGGAAGGCCCATACGAGAATGCTCTGATACATGTAGGCCACACTATTGCGAGCTTCTGCGAACCAGACACCTCTCCCTGTTCATCACACTCCTGAGCAGCACTGGCTGGAAAGAAACGTGGTCCTGACAAGCAATCGGATATGTGAGGCAGGCCCTCGGTGCTGGTGGAGCGGTCCGCCCAGCGACACAAACACCCTGGGCAGTAACAGAGTACATCACTGACAGCCGTGGCAAGGTCCT